TTTGTTGAGATAGTGAATTGGTGGGTTTTTGTTAAATGTGAGCCAAAATCATCACAATTAAAAGAACCAAAGACTTAAACTACTTCAGTCTGTGTGCATTGAATTTATTTAATACACGAGTTTCACAATTTGAGTTGAATTACTGAAATAAATGAACTTTTCCACGACATTCTAATTTATTGAGATGCACCTGTAATTTATTCCTGTGATAGCTTATGGAGTTTTCAGCAGTCATTACTCCAGTCTTCAGTGTCACATAATCCTTCAGAATTCATTCTAATATACTGATTTAGTGGTCATTAAACATTTATTATTATTATCAGTGTGGTAAAAAGTTGTGCTGCTTAATATTTTTGTGGAAACAGATAGTTTTTTAATTCTTTGATGGTTAAAAATTGCAAAAGAACAGCATTTATTTGAAATAGAAAACCTTTGTAACATTAAAAATGTCTTTACAGTCACTTTTAATCAATTTGATGCACCCTTGCTGAATAAAAGTATTAATTTATTTCAAAAAAGAAAGAACGAAAGAAAATGAAAGAAGGAAAAAAGAAAAAAAAAAAATATTCCTGACACCAAACTTTTGAACACTATTGTGTTTATTTGCTTGTTTGCTTATTTGTGATTGATATTAAAATCATTACAGTCTTGTGTATGTTTTGCGCAATGCACATTGCAGTCAGGGGTCAAACAGATTAAAGTTCCTTATTTTGTCAAAGTAAAGGGACGCTGACAGTTAAATTCCTAATGTCAGTCATCATTGGTTTATGTGCTTGAGTGATAAGTGAACGTGTTGCTGTTGCTGTTGTGTGATGAAAGCCATCATGCCACGTAGGGCAAATTCACACTGTGCTATTTGCATGAAAAGGCTTCATATGTGTATCTGCAATAAAAGTACGTGTAAGTTCCTGTGCGGGCAGCTTAGCCATTATTGCAGATGCTTATGGCTCTTGTATGCAAGCCTTATTGAGCTGCACAATTGAATGTAACAATCATCATTATTGTTTATTGTTCAAATGTCAGTTATTGTGGACATTTTAATCGGTGGTGCTTTATTCTGCTCTGATCGTGAGATATTTTATCGTTGCTCGCCTGAACGTTCCTAGTGCTGCTTATTTCTACTGGTGCTGATTACTTTGAAGAATATCTGCAGTGATTTGTAAAGAACAAATTTTCACCTTTCCCTCATCCACTCTTTTAGGACGGATGGTCGTCGCTGGTCTCTCGCCTCTCTGCCATCCTCTGGCTATGGAACCAACACCCCAAGCTCAACAGTCTCGGTGAGTGTCTGTGTGTGTTTATGCTCATGTTCTTTCTGTAGTCCCTCTGTGATGTATCAACCCCCAGATATATGCATCACTGTTTGGTATTGCATTTGATTCCAAGCCTTAACTTACCCAGAAGGTTTATCCTATTGACCCTACAGTGGGATAAACTCTAGGTACAAAGCAGCTCCCTTTAGCCTGAAGTGAAGCCAGTGGCTTCATGTCAGTGCATTCACTTCAAAAGAGTTCTGTCCCCGAAAATTGACTGTAACTCAGTCTGGCTGTTGCTTTCATTGGGGAATCAGCTCAAACCTCACAAGCCCCATTCTCTGCAGAAAGATAAAAATACATTTTCTAGTTTAGGCCAAATTGTTATACTAAAGGCTGCAGAGCTTTTATTCAACTCTAAACAAAAGGGGAAAAAATCTACTGATTAAGAACAAATGTAATTTTTTAATTGGGTGAAGCTCACAAAAATGGAAATAAGAAATTATATTATAAAGAAAATGGAGCCTATTGTTATGGTTATTGAG